CTTTGTGGATATCCTCCTGCTTGAAAACAGTGCCTCCAATCACCGAATCGTTGAATGTCCAGAAGTCTGCAAACAATTCTGCATTCTCGTTCATTTCACCTGGCGCTTCTTGGCGCATGGTTAGTTCTTTTCCTGTGTTGTCTGCTCCCAGTTTGGCATTCATGTCACCCATTAGAATTTTGATATCGCCAACTGAGTTCTTGTCCAGTGTTGATTGTAGTTGCCTGTAGAACTTCTCCTTTTTCTCTTGTTCTGAATTATTTGTAGGTGCATAGCGTAGCATTGTATGATTGTGACCTTCCTCACTTTTGAGTTGAACTTGCTGTCATGATGCTGATCGTTGAGGAGATTGGTTCCCACTGCATGAGAGAGAGCCTTTGATACTCTTGGGAGGGGGACATCATGATAGCCACTTTGAAACTCATTGTGCTGGTGGTTGTCGTGTCGTCTGGTTGACAATTTCGGAGTAGATTATCGACTCTCTGGTCGACAGTTTGGAGAGTCCACTCCCATTCCATATGCTTTCGCAAATTCCAAGCACTTCAATGTGATACCTCTTCATCTCGTTTGCAATGTGGGCTGCCTTGTTGGGTTGAAACATGGTGCGGACATTCCATGTCCCCACGTTTACTTTCGCTTTCATCGAGAATAGAGAAGACATCAGCCCTGCTAATTGACTTCCTGAATGCTTTCACTAACTGGCGTCATTTCGCCTCTCCGATTGCAGCGAGGAATAATTTTGTTATTATTTTTATATATCGTTTGTGCTTTGAAGTTTGTTTAGCGGTTATATTTGTTTTCCGGTGTAGGGTTGCTAGCCGTATGCCCAACGTTCCCTGTTTACCCGGGCTTACGACCGGCTAGTAACTAGTGAACTAGTTAACCAGGCGAGGTTGTTGTCTACGGTGTATTAACCAAACTAGGAGACTAGCGCAAAAGAGCCTTACAATGATTGGTAATAATGTGCTTGGACAAAGCAAGACGGAGTGAGCAATAAATCACATTCTCCTTCTATGTGCAAAGGTCAGGTTTAGAACCTTTTATTTAGGTTGCTTCCGCGAATCGTAGTAGACCAGAAATTTTCTATGTACTTTGTTTTTTAAAAGCACTCAAGGTTTCAGCCTGATGCCTTGAATCTACTAAGCGTTTTGCAGTTGCATTGGTTAAAATTTCACTTTTTTTTAGGCACGGATTCTTGGAGGTATACTCAGCAAATCGAATGAACTCCCTCCTCTTAGTTCTTTCAGCTTACTTGCTACAGGAAGTGTATGTATATTCACAAATAGAGTTAGAGATGACATGAGGAGGGGTAGTTATCCTTTTTTCATTGGTTCAAAGAACATGTGGGATTGTAAACTAATACAAGATTGACTACAGGAAAGCTCCTTCGCAGTGCTCGCTTGATTCTTGTGTCTGTCCCCTTGGATACTGTATCTGCTTGGAATGTGAGGTGGATTTTTCTGGATATGTTTTTTTCCTTACTTCATAATCAACTTCGTAGAATGTCTATTCTTTTGGAGATACTTTTTAATTATGCTTCGTTCTTCCTCTAACTTGTCCATGGAACATAAGTTCCTAGCTCCGATGTAAAGTGTTTTGATTGGCCCACATTTATAACTAACAAACAGAAACTTTTATTGTTAATGTATTACCCACTCCACGTGTCTATTGACATTCATTTTTTATCCTTGACTGATCATTTGATGGTTTAGTTATAATTATTTTATCTTGCTCAAATTTTTGTACATAAGTAATTGTTTTATTCAACCATATTCTTGTTTGTCATTCTCGACATCTAAACTGGTTGATGATTGAAGGCAAAATGAAAATTTAGACCGCAGCGAGATTCGAACCAGTGACCAGTGAGTTTCTGGCCTGATGCTCTACCAATTGAGTTACGAAGTCGGACTGCTGACCAGATTTTTATTAAACGTTGGGTAGCTGGCGGTAACAGTTACGGCATAAAAATATTTTATCCTTGTGTTTAATTTTCCGATAGAATTGGATATGAGTTTCGATTCTGTTTCGGAGAAATTTGTTCCGTTTCTTCGTATTCTAACTAGTTTTTTTTAGTTGTATTATACAGTTAATCACCATCGCTATGATGTGAATATGTGTGTGGGTAGTACTTACATCGTTTTGCTTGGTATGCTGAAAATAATGATGATGACGACAATGAATATTTCTTTCAGGAATGTTGTTAAATGTTATGCTTAGTCATGTGAAATTTTTGATGAAGTTTACTGCTACAAATAGAGAAATAACAGGAAGTGATTGACTTCTTGCATTTTCTACTGTAGTTGTATAATTTTCCAATCATAATCGTATTTATGGGTTCATTATTAGCGTCTTTTTCTCTGTTTCTTCTCCTTAAATATATTGGCTAACCTTAATATAAGTGTAAAATTTGGGTGCTGTTGTAGATTGTGACTCCATATTAGATTTTTTTTATTTGATATAGCACACAGGGATACAATAATATTTACTTGATGACATTTTTGAGCAGAATTTAATAATTCGGTAGAAAGCAAACATGGTTAAATGCCTCACTAACAGAGCGCGAAAAATATGTTCGGATGATCTAGTACAGAAAGAGTTAGATTATATCCGTTATTCATTGGTTGAAATGGGCTACCCTAATAGTTTCATAAAAAGATACATGGACAGAACCAGGGGAAACAAACCTGGTATTATTACCATACAAAAAAAACCTTTGTTTATGAAATGCAATTTAATGGGATGTGGCTGGAGAAGTTTTATATCAGAGACTCTCGCGAGCCATTAAAAGGACCTTCTACGCCGCACAACTTTATCTATCATTTTCCAGTCGACCAATTGTTGCTGCTCAGACAAAAGATAAGTTATCTAGTTTTGCCATTTCTATGAGTATTTACAAGTTTAGGTGGTCCTGTGAAGAAAGATATATGGGGCGTACTGCCAGACATCTTAACAAACGTCTTGCTGAGCATCTACCTTCATGGTTGGGAAAAGGATAGATGAAATCCATCAGAAGCTCGGTTTTATCTCACCTCGTTGATAGTGGTCACTCGGTAGATAAGACCAATGCTTTCACGATTATGTACCGCATACCATCTCATCTTTCGTAAGGTATTCACACTCTTCTTTTACACATAGCAGAAGCTGTGGGAATTCCAGCTAATAATCCTAGCCTTTGTATCCAGAAGTTTGTGCATCCGTTATCACTCCTTTGGCCAGGGATTACTTAGTTAATAATTCAGTTATAATTCAGTTTTTTCCTACCCCTTTTCTTGTTCCTTCACCCCTTTAGTACACTAGGCTTTGTTTATCCACTTACCTCGCCCTCCACTATTACGTAACTTTTATTTTCACTAGCTTTTGACCAGTTTTGATTATCGGAGTGTCTACATTCTCATGCTGCTTTCTTGGTTCTTATCATCGTATATCATATCATATCATATCATATCATATATATATATATATATATATATATATATATATATATATATATATATATATATCTAAAGAGGATCTAATTGAAAACAATATTGTCGCTTATATATCTTGTCCTAATTTATTTTATTTCATTTTATTTATGCCTCACAGTCATATCATTGTAATCACAAAACTTAGGATTTTATAGTCTCATCACCTTATATTCCTTGTTTTCCATGGTGTAGGTGTGGCGTCATTCCTATTACGAGTATTCGGTGTTGATTCGATGAACCAAGTTCCAGTAATCTCTCCCTCTCTCTTTGTCTCTACGCTTAAATGTATTACATTTAAGTACATGAGTTATCTCTCACTTTTTGTCTGGTTGTGTTAATGCATGCACTGCAATAACCCGGTTTTTTTTCTAGATTATTCCATCATTCTATATTTTGATAATCTAACTGACCTCAGTCGGATAGTTTGACCTATGTAGTTGACCTCACAGTCACTGCCTGAAATTCGATACATTGAAATGCTTATGTTTAATCGGATCCTTATACCGACCGACAAAGCTTATTTCTGAGTGAGTTTGTAAATTTGAATGCCACTCTAATTTAAGTCTTGTTAAGAATACCAACAACAAAATCCTTGTTCATTGAATCAACACCCATCACATGTAATAGGAATGACACTACACCTATACTAGAGATGTGGAAAATTTTTACTACGAATAGAACAAAGAAAATGAGGTGACACGACTATAAAAATCAAGTGTCGAAAGTACTGTGATTACATTGATATGATTATGAGCAATGATGATTTATGCTGGGAACATCGTCATTAGGTAAATAACACTGTGTCACCACTGTATACTGGATAAACAAATAAACAAATCTTACATGGACTAGTGGCTAACTTTGATCCACATTTAAAAGAGAATCTACAGAGGTTTTTTAATAGCTTTGATCGGTAGTCAATGTTATTGTGAAACTGCAGATTGTGTAATTCTGTGATTGACAATTTATTCGATCGAGTTATTAGCCTGGATGAATTAAGGCGGTTAACATAACTATATTGACGATGCCTTTCTAACTACGATCTACCTCAGGACTCAGTGTAAAGTGAAATGGGAATGAAATTAAGAATGCCATTAAGGATGCTATGTTTTACTAGTGCCATCCTGAACCCTTTTACAGCCTGGACCCTGCTTCAGCTACCATTGCGTGACGAATCAGATGGTAACTAGGCCTCTATAACGTATCATGTTTAGGCAACCTGAGTCGATGAAGGTTCTCAACAGTACTGACTAACCTTACACTCCTCTGTAGAACTCTACACTTGTCTTTTGTGTTACTTAAGTGGTAACTCTATGATACACGGTCAATGCTAAGAAGTTGACGGTGATCAAGCACATGAAGCCTTCTCATTTCCTCTGCCTGTAATGACCATGTTTCACAGCCATACTATGGAACTGAGGAAACTGTTCGCTACTGTCACGCAGTATAATCGTAATATCCTCTAAGTAAATATTTGATGTTTCATATTGTGCGTTAATCATTTTCTTCATCTATGTCTGTTACGCTCTTTAGGATCATAAAGGAAAATTATATCAAATTGGAATTAACAGAGAAGGATTACTTATTCATCAAGAGTTTTTGGAGTCCTCATCTACTCATTTCACTTGGTTAGTCTATACTGAAGTTTTTACTGTTGTTTGTTAATGGCGATGCATATCTGAATGCAGTCGATATTTTCTTTAAAACCGAGTGTATTTACATTCGTAATGTTTTCATCACATTACCTGTGTGTGATGTGATCATCATGTAAGCAACCTTGTGATTAAACGTAGATTTCGAGGGGAAAACACAAGCAATCTGGCGGTTGTTGGTTTAAATCCTGCCTCGGCTCAGAATTTCAAACTGATAATCAATGTGATACTCCCTTTCCTCTCTAATTCAATTAGATTTAGATTAGGATGAGAAGTCCTAAATAGGTTGACAATGTCAATGTGATGAATGGATAGTAAACCATCGCCAATTCATAGGACAGTTGGAAGAGTGAAATTAAGGTCTGGTGCGCAGCGGGATCTTCTAGCTCAAGTTGATGGAGCATCGTCATTATCTATCAGCATTGGACCAAGGATTATAGCGTAACGGTCCGAGTTGCTACAACTCATCTCAGATCACTACATCAATAAAAAGCAGTGAAGTGAATGGTGAAGAAAGTAAAATCCACTCAAAAGAAATATTCAGTACTAAGAGAGAGAAAGAACAGACGAGAAAATAGTGGGATTCGGTATAGCGTTAAGATAAGGATAATGTGTGAATACATCTGTGCCACTGACATGAGTTCTCAGCCATATCACCTAGAGTCAATCTCCAACCGCTGGTTTCTCTTGTCCCACGGACCCCAACGGCTAGTCTGCATCGCCGCACATGGCTCAAACCAACAGTGAAACGCTTCATACATTGACCTCATGCCATGTTTTAGTCTGACCACCTCGGGCCTTTTTCCAGCCTGGATCCACCTCAGCCAACATTGTGTAACGAGGCAGACGGCGACTAGGCATACGTAACACATGTTCCAACCATCTCAGACGATGAAGGTTCACAACCGTGTCAACTGATTTACCTCTTCCCCTAAAACTTTACGCCCGAGTTCTGCGTTACTCGAGTGGTGACACCACGAAATACGGCGTAGACTACGAAGACAACATTGGTCAAACACCTGAAGCCTTCTCATGCTTCCACCTTCAATGGCCATGTTTCACAGCTATACACCAGCTATACAGAGTGAACTGCCGTACAGTACACGCGACGTTTAATAAATAGATAATCGGATATCAAGGTGGCACCACAGATAGCGTAAGTTGGTAGAAGCCAACCAAGCTTTTTGTATTTGTGAAGAGATTTCATCTACCAATGACCCACCACAGCTGATCCTACTTCTCAGGTAAGTGAAGTGGTCGACACACTCAACCACTCTCTATTGTTAGGTGAGGCCTCGTTGAAGACTAATAATGGAGCAACAATTTGCATTTGGGTGATGAGAAACGCATCCCAAACATTCTCAAATTGTTACTCAAAGTGTCTAGAAGACTCTGTATTTTGTCAGTGTCTTCACTTAACAGGAATATGTTATCTGTGTATTCTAGGTCTAACTAAATTCTCCCGCGATCAGGTCAACCACTGTGTAATCAGGTGACGAGAGGGAGACCTTCGTAAGAATATCTATGATAAAATGGAGACAGTGGGCATCTTTGAAGGACCCCACTCAATGAGCATAGCTCCGTGGACATCTAATCATGGGCGCTAACACGACCACAAATGTTCGAGTAGAGTGCCTTCAATGAGGTGATGTACCAACATAAAGCAAAGCGTATCATGTTTTAGATTGCTGACTAAGTTGTCAAAGTAATCTATAGACAGACATCAATTAGTGAGTAGACAAAATAGGATTACTTATTGTCCAGTGGTTGATCCGTGTACTGCGTTTACATATTATTATTATTATTAGTCCCTTGGGTTCCTAGTGGAACATAGGGCTTCAGTAGCACATTTCCAGTGACCTCTGTTCTCTGAGATCTTTTGAACCTGGTTCCACGACAGCCCAGAAGCTCGCATTTCCTCCTCACACGACCTCCTCCATGTCACCAACGGACGTCCAACTCGTCGCTTCCCTTGGGGATTCCACTCGAGGGCTTGATGCGTGATGTCCCCAGTCAGCCTTCTCAGTGCATGTCCAATCCATCTCCACTTTCTTCTGCATATTTGTTGAGCGATAGCTTCTTGGTTGGTTCGTTCCCAGAGTTTCTTGTTGCTTATTCTTTCTGGCGATCCATTGATCTTCAGTAACGAGTCATTGTAGGCAGTTGTTGATGAATGTCTGTAGTTAGTTGGAAATGCCTTTCGTGACGCGCTAAGTCTCTGAACCATACAGAAGCACTGATTTGACGTTGGTGTTGAAAATCCGGATCTTGTCCCACATGCTGAGTGCAGAACATCTCCACACTGGTTTCAGGCCAATTAATGAATGCCTGTCTTGCTTTTCCGATTCTGACTGCTGTGACGTGCTCGTCTGTGCCTGTGCTGCCTGTAGTTGACACAGTGCCGCCTAAATAGGTAAAAGTGGCTACTTCCTTTCAGTTTCTCCCGGTGATGGTGATTGGAGTTTGTTGTTGTTGTTGGAGTTGTTGGTGCGGTATCTTCATCACCTCTGTCTTCTCTATATTCACTTGAAGTCAGTTCCGTCTTCGCCACCCTGCCTCTTCTACCAACTTGTTAGTTTTCGCCTGTAGATCTTCAAGTTTGTGTGACGAGACATCAGACACAAGTCATCGTTGGTGAAATCCAAGTCTTCGAGGTTCTTTTCCCCAGTCCAGCCATTGTATTCCCCTCTTCTCACAGCTCCCCACTGTTTGTTGCATGATCCAGTCCAGGTGACCACAATCAGGAATATCAAGGGTGATAGTAGGCAACCTTGTTTCACTCCTGTCTTCACTTCAAAAGCATCACTCAGCTTCCTATTGTGAGTTACTTGGCTGGCATGTGGCGTCTTCATATAGTTGTTGAATGAGGCGGATAAAGGTTTGGGGTATTCCGAAGTGTTGAAGCAGTTTCGAAATTACGTCTCGGTCGACGCTGTCAAAGGCCTTTTCAAAGTCGATGAAGTTGGTGTGGTAGTTGACTGTCATTCTCTACTCTGTTCTGTGATGATGCGTTGTGTGGCGTTGTAATTTGGTCCTCACATGATTTGTACTTCCTGAAGCTAGCCAGCCTGTTCCAGTTGTAGTTTTGAATCCAGCACATTGTTTAGCCTCTCCAGGATGATGCGGCCCAATATTTTGCTGGCACTGGGTGGACAGGAGAGTGATTCCTCGCCAGTTCTTGCAAACACTGAGGTCTCCCTTCTTTGGGAGTTTGGCAAAGTAGCCCTTCTTCCAATCTACAGGTACCTTCTCTTCCTTCCACACCTTCTGCAATAGTGGTGTGAGCATGTTTGCTGTTGTCTCTGCGTCTGTTCTCAGTGCTTCTGGTGGGATCCCATCTGGTCCTGCTGCTTTCCACATTTCAGTAGCTTTATGGCGTTCAGGACTTCCACTTTCGTTGGAGGATTTATGTTCACTTGTAGTTCAGCGGCTGTAGGTGGTATTTCTGGACGAAGTGCAGTTGATGGTCTATTCAAGAGCTTTTTGAGGTGGTCTGCCCATTTTTTCTTTTAGTTCACTTCTTGGGTAATTAAATTTCCTTCATCATCTTTTATTGGTGTCGTCTATGTTGATCTCTTCCCAGATTGTTACTGGTTATTTGATACAATGTTGTCAGGTGTCTGTCTCTCCTACCAGCCAGCAGCCTGTTCTCTTTCACTTGCCAGTGTTTCGTAGAAGTGTTTTTTGTCTTTCCACTCACTCCTCCTCACTTCTTTGTCCTGTGAAGTGTTGTATACATTGTACTCAGTTCCTCTTCTCATTGTGCATCCTTGCACTGGTTTATCTTCTGCTTCACCATCCTCCTCACCCTCCTCTATCAGCTTCCATGTATCCATCGAGATCCATTCCTTATCTTCTTTCTTCTTCCTTCCTAATGCGGTTGTGCAGGTTTATTTCCATATCTCTTTCAAAGACTTCCAGTGTTCTTCCACACAGATTTCTTCAGGGATGTTCCTCGATATCTCCCACTTTGTCTTGATGTCTGGCTGCCGTGAAGATTTCCTTTATAGTTTCGTCCTTCGGTTCAGTTTCTGTTCTGGGTGTTCAACTTGAACTGTGGTCTATCATCAACTTCCTTGAAGGATTTCAACTTGATTTGAAGATAGGTTGCTTGCAGTAGACAGTGAGTTGTCTGAAACTACATCTGCTCCTCTTCTTGACCTTTTGTCAAGTAGGCTGCGTCTCCACTTTCTTGAGATTGAGATAAATTTGATCTGATGTTTAGTGTGTCCTGGTGTCTGGTGAAATCCATGTCGCTTGCTTTGTGGATATCCTCCTGCTTGAAAACAGTGCCTCCAATCACCGAATCGTTGAATGTCCAGAAGTCTGCAAACAATTCTGCATTCTCGTTCATTTCACCTGGCGCTTCTTGGCGCATGGTTAGTTCTTTTTCCTGTGTTGTCTGCTCCCAGTTTGGCATTCATGTCACCCATTAGAATTTTGATATCGCCAACTGAGTTCTTGTCCAGTGTTGATTGTAGTTGCCTGTAGAACTTCTCCTTTTTCTCTTGTTCTGAATTATTTGTAGGTGCATAGCGTAGCATTGTATGATTGTGACCTTCCTCACTTTTGAGTTGAACTTTGCTGTCATGATGCTGATCGTTGAGGAGATTGGTTCCCACTGCATGAGAGAGAGCCTTTGATACTCTTGGGAGGGGGACATCATGATAGCCACTTTGAAACTCATTGTGCTGGTGGTTGTCGTGTCGTCTGGTTGACAATTTCGGAGTAGATTATCGACTCTCTGGTCGACAGTTTGGAGAGTCCACTCCCATTCCATATGCTTTCGCAAATTCCAAGCACTTCAATGTGATACCTCTTCATCTCGTTTGCAATGTGGGCTGCCTTGTTGGGTTGAAACATGGTGCGGACATTCCATGTCCCCACGTTTACTTTCGCTTTCATCGAGAATAGAGAAGACATCAGCCCTGCTAATTGACTTCCTGAATGCTTTCACTAACTGCGTCATTTCGCCT